GGCTCATTCAAAGGGTTATTCGCGATTTAGTAATTATCATTGACATTTTTAACTTCGGGAGTTTCAGATAACATGTTAACGTTTAAAAAATTGTCATAATTATGTTCTCAGCTACAACTATCAGATGAACAATTTAATAAACTATTTTTACTTAAATCCGTTTTTTCAAAATTAAATAAACCTTATATGGAGTTTAATGTCCATATAAAACCACTGAAACATGGAGGGCGGTCATAAATTAGTTAATGAGAGTTAATGTTCTAATAGCTTGGGTGTTACCTGATTTTGCGCGCATTAGTTAGACGCCATTTATCGGCTGCTTACACTATCAGCGCAGTCCATTTTAACAACAGATTGTTTTTCTATACAGTGTATACTCAATGGTAAACATTTATTAATTTTAGCTGTAAAACGTACGTTTTTAGTAATTTTTAACTTTTCTTACTTATTTCTTTTTCACATAATGAAAATACACAAAAATCATTGTCATTGCAGTCACAGTTGTCCTTGCTATGGAAAACGGTGGCCACCAGAGAGTAACAGTATTCCGCGTACATGCCGGCCACGAATAATAACACTGCAAGAGCAAAATACGACTTGTTGTTCCAGACCCATTGGATCCCCGCATCTCCCCATTTCCACCAACCACTGCACGCAGGGCATTTGTCTCGACAACAGCAATAAGGTCTTTCGTCGCAGGCGCTTGAGGCGGACGCCGGACGACACGATCGAGGCGGCGGCGGTGCCTCACACCGTTCGCAACCGGCCTTCAGTTTGATCGTTTCTTCCGGAAACTCGTGACGTCCTCCGCCGGTTTTGCCGCTTACGTAGTTTACAGATGCTATACGGCGCGGACGGTAGTCGGTGGCCGCTGTCCGCGCTGCAGCCGCGTCTTGCAGACATGGCACAGACCGACGAGAACGAATCGAATCGTAACAGACGTCTCGGGACGCGGCAGCTCGAGACTGTCCATGGCGTTCGTGCTTCATCTCTGGAGCGGCGGTCCCGAAGTCCCGGCAGTTATCCAGAAATTCGCACAACGATTCCACCCGGTGGATCAAGTCGTCCATGGACATGGCCGTCCCCGGTCTGTCGTCAAACAATGCGGATTCCGAGGGACGCACACTGCCGTCAAACAACTTCAGTATGGTTAAACAAGTATAATTTAAGAAATTCGTACTTGACGACCGATTTGTTTATGCTATCGCTACGACTTAACGACGTGCGTTGGCTGTCATGTAGCGTTTACGCACGGTGTACTCGATATGAGGCTAGCAAAGTAATAAAAAAATGATATAATATTATGGTTAAACCGTGGCTTATCTCCCTCCCAGTCCGACAGGTCGAGCTAAGTTAATGTTCTCATCGGGAAGGAGCGTTAGGTTGGAAGCCAGAAACGTATCCTCCATTTTCTCCACGATGCCGTCCGGTTGCATGAAATTGAACTCGACCCATCCAAGTGCCGAATCCACCCGTTCACCTAGTTCCACTACTAGGGCAGTGATACACTGGCTGGTGCTGGCTTGCCCCTAGATCCCATTTCGCTAATGTCTAATATTGTCTCAACTTCCCTTATATTATGACGAGTTTTGAGGGGCTATAAATAACGAACAGTAAAACTTAGAGATAAGCGGTTTGTTTTATTCAAATTATTAACAAGTACCGTTTTTTGGGTTAAGTTTTGAAAATTACATCCCCAAGATGGCGACCGTCAGCAGCAATACATTGTTGCAGCCGTTTTTGGAAGTTTTCGTGAGCTTTTCGGCACGTTTCGACAGCAACTTTTTTTTGTAGCGATGAGGCCCATTTCCATCTTTCTGGGGCTGTAAGCAAGCAGAACTTTCGCTACTGGGCTGAAAATAACCCACGGGAAATGCCCTCCATTCTCCTAAAGTGACAGTGTGGTGTGCTGTATCCCAACTTGGGGTGATCGGCTGGTACTTTTTGAGGAGGAGAACAGGACCGTCACAGTCACTTCCGCTCGGTATGTTTTAATGTTGACAACTTATCTGCAGCACGAGTTGAAGGAAATGGCTGAAGATCATAACTTAAGAGATGTGTGGTATCAACAAGACGCTAAAAACCCCTGTAACAATATATTGCTACTGACAGTCGCCATCTTGGGGATGTAATTTTCAAAACTTAATCCAAAAAACGGTACTTGTTAATATTTTGAATAAAACAATTCGCTTATCTCTAAGTTTTACTGTTCGTTATTTATAGCCCCTCAAAACTCGTCAGTCGGGTCCGCCCCACCCTGTATAATAACGCTCCTCCATGGACCTCCATTTATGGTTTAAAATCTTGATGGTTCCAATTCCTTCCTAATTTTTCTTCCTGTAACTTCACGAGAATTATTTTGATGCTTTTCGCATTGTTCAATATTATTGGGTCTTCTTGTGTATATGGTACTCTTGTTTTTTTATTGACAGCACTTTTTATTTCTTGCCAGATACCTTTGTGATTAGCCGTCCAGGACGGGTCTATTGGTCCCCGTCCCCTTTTTTCAGCATTCAGAGGCCTGTACCGCCGGCAATAACATCATTTTTTGAATTTCTTCGGAGGGCGCTAGCACCGTCACCGTCGCCCCCCACACTGACCTCTGCTACCTTCGTAAATCTGTATATACAGGTGTGGGCAGTCTAGTGTACGCCAGTCGCCACACTGATGATCGCCTCGGTTAAGTTGCGGTGGTGAAGGCACGGCTGGCTTGATGTTGGTCCCATCGGCAGATTCTCCCCTGGCGGTGATCGGGCCCCTTTGTGGGCAATTCAATTGCCGTCGGTTCGGCCATTGCGCCTTGAGCTGAACTCAAAAACATTTTTCAGCAGAGTCTGCAACTACGAAAGAGCTTTTTCATGTATCTAAGGTAAACATATCATGTTTCTGGCAAATATTTTAGTGTTTTCAAAATATTTGGCCTAAGATAATTCATAGTCAATTTGGCCCCTTAAATTATTGAATTTATTATTCAGTTCTATTTTGAACGTTGTGAATACAACAACTTTTTCCCCTTCCCCCCATTCCCCCCCCACCATCTCTAATCTCTTATCTCTTATCTCTAGTTTTCTAAATTGGTTTGTTTTTAAAGGTTCGTGAAAAGTTAAAAATCTCCTAATTCCTTCGGTATCCATGACCCGTTTGCCTACATTCCCAAAACTCCATAACAAATATATTTTCCTTAATCCCTTATCTCTAATCCTAATAAACGTTATACATTTTCGTAATATTGTCGAATTTTGTAACGATCGGATTTTGCGGACCGACCCCTGCCATAAAATATATCCATGCCAGTCTATAACAAGAAATCTTGTTTTTAATTTTAAATTTGATGTCATAAAATTCACTTAAATTTAAATGTAATAATGAGTGTGGGAAGATCAAAATGACTGAAG